CCCTTCTTCAGAAAATGAAGAAGGGTCTAGGCCTGAAACGTCAGCCTTCCTGCTCCTCTGATGCTGCTTGGCCTGCTGTGTTCATCCAGCTCTACACCTTGTTATCATACAATTCACACAGTTCTTTTGGTTAAGAACAGGTTAACAGCCGGCAAGCAATTCATACAAAGTCTAAAATTCAAGCTCATACCCGCTAGTTTTCCAATGATGTTCCCTGAACAGTCAACAAAAATAGAAGCTAATACCCGAGTATAGAAGTTCATACTGGCCAGCTGTTTTCTCCTAGATCTCATGGTCCTCTCCACACTTCCAAGTGTGGGGTCCACAACTTTGCGAATGTTGCTCTCCAGAACTTGCACTGTTGGCATGCTTAAATCCTTCATTTTTATCCTTTCTCCTTATCTTCCCGAACTGTGGTGTCTTGTCCTTGTTGGTTCTTAGCTCATCTGGCCAGCGGATGTCTTTCCACTATAGGCTCACTCCAAGAACACCATTAAGGTTACCTCAGTATTCTTCCTCCAAATAAAGACTTGCATCTTATGTTATCGTCAGAGCTGATCTGTTTCAAGCTAGTGCAAGCCAGTGGCTGGAGCTTGGGTAACTTCAGTTCATAAGCTTGCTGTTTTTATGTGTGAGCAGCCCCTGGCGAACAGTTCTCTTAGAGCACACACATCCAGCATACCTGCATTGCCTTGCACTGCCCTCTCAGCTAGAGCTGACAGGCTCACAACACTTCTGTATTGCCTTGTTGTTTAGCATAGACCCAAAGCAAGGCAGCTTGCCATAGATATCAGTAGTCATCCATCAAGCTCACTGTGTGTGCTTCTGGAAGATGGCCAAGTTTCAAAGTCTAAGTGGGTTAGTCCTCTCTTAAATCAGTAGGGTGCCTAACACATCAAGTCAAAAATAAGTCTCTAATATCAGTCCAGGGCTTGGACACAGTCATTTGGCTGCTCAGGATAGTCAGGGTCAGGACCCTTTCCATGCGTCAGGCACCCCATCCCTAACCACTGATTTAATGCCTTGGCTCTTCCTGCCCTAATGTTGGGCTGTTTTCACCCTGGCATTAGAGAAAGGGAGGGATTGATTGATATGGAAGTGGGAAGCTGCTAGTGCTGGTGCAGGTGGAAAAAAGATGGTGAGGTGTCCCGAGTGAGTGAGTAAGCAGTGCAGAAGGCAGGTAGGGTTGGAGGTGTGGAGGGATTGGGTATTAAGAGTGAATGAGGGAAGGTGCTGTAGCAGTAGTGAGAAAGATAGAATGTGAGCCTTGGTGAGAGGTATCTGCAGTAGCAGAGATAGAGCGAATGTGAGGTAGCAGAGAGAAGACTCCCCTAGTGGAGCAGAGAAGGTCATTGACCTTTCTTTTTGCACTGCTGGGAGTTCCATTAAATGCCTGTGACCACATTGACCCGGATGGTAACCTCAGAGCAGGGCTGGCAGTGTTTGGTGTTAAGGCCTCCTCTGTCTTCCTGGAAGATAAGGACATCCATCCTCTGCTCCCTGTCCACCTCCAGGTCCCTGTCTCCAAAGTGACTGTCAGTTTCCCCTTATCTGCCATCTCCAGGCTAAATGTCATGGATCCTGCAAGGCACATGTGGAAAACCAGCATTTGACCAAGTGCACAACAGCCTTTCAAAGTTGGCATCAGCGCCAGGGATTCTTGGATATCCTGGCAGTGGCAAGTATGGCTAAGGGCAGGCATGGTGGCTCAGTGGTTAGCACTGCTACCTCACAGCACCAGTGACCTGGGTTCAATTCCACCCTCGGGCAGCTGTCTGTGTGGAGTTTGCGCATTCTCCCCGTGTCTGTGTGGGTTTCCTCTGAGTGTTCTGGTTTCCTCCCACAGTCCAAAGATGTGCAGGCTAGGTGGATTGGCCATGCTAAATTGCCCATTGTGTTCAGGGATGTGTAGATTAGATGTGTTAGCCATGGGAAATGCAGGGTTACAGGGAAAGGGTAGAGGGATGGGTCTGGGTGGGATGCTCTTCGGAGAGTCGGTGTGGACTTGCTGGGCTGAATGGCCTGTTTCCACACTGTAGGGATTCTATGATACTAAGAAATGGAAGCATAGGATGAAAAGGGTGCCATTTGCAAATCCTAGGTAGTTAATGAGTTGAGTTCAGGATGATACAAGAAAAAATTCCCTCCATCAAACTCACCACAGATGATACTTTGCTGATATTTGGTAAGAATCAGATGCCTGAAACTGTGGGCTGAATGTGTAGCTGGTTAAAGAATGGAAGGCTGTTTTTGGATCATTGCAGTGTGTGAAACAGTACTGAGTCCGAATGGTCAGGAAATACAGATCTAATCGTTGTTTTGAGCCATCATATGGATAAATGCGCTGAGTTTAGTGATGACTAAAAAAATGAAAATGTGAAATACTGTTTAGGAAAGTTCAAAACTCCTGTCAAATTTTCACTTTAGTGAAATTCATATCAGATCTATTTGCATTTTATTACTCTTTGATAACGTGTTAGAAAGTATGAACAGTCAATCATTTAAGGGAGATTTAGGAGAGATAGTGGGGAGATCCAGCAGATATGGATGGAGCATGTCTTGAGAAATTGGTTTCCAGTGTCCAATATAGAAGCTTTTTAGAGCCAGCTGTGAACTGTATTTGCCTGGTAGCTCTCTGATTTCCATGTTCAGAATACTCAGTGTCTAATTTGCTCATGGCTAATTTGCTCTAGCGAAAATCTCACCTGCAACCTAGTTAAGAAATGCAGCAAGTTGCTCCCAATGTTGAGATATGCCTCATTGGACTTTTCACACAATTCTGCTGCATTTCTTACTGTAGCCTGTACTGTTCAGGCTCCTATAAATTTCATCTACTTTTATATTTTGTTGTTCATTGATAAGGTGAATAACTAGGGTGGGGGAGTTCAAGACTACGGGGCATATTTTTAAGGTGAGAGGAGTAAGGTTTAAAAAAGACATGAGGGGCAAAGTTTTTACACAGAGAGCGGTTCATGTGTGGAATGAACTGCCAGAGGAGGTGGTGGATACAAGCACAGTTACAACATTTGACAAACATTTGGATAAGTACATGAATAGGAAATGTTTGGAGGGATTTGGGCCAAAACAAAGCTGGTAGGACTAGTTTAGTTTGGTGTGGATTAGTTGGACCGAAGGGTCTGTTTCCATGCTGTATGACTTTATGACTCTGTGTTCAAGAGTCACAAAGCCTTCTAATTACAAATTGATTTGCTTTATTCAAATTCATCCACATAATGTCTTCTATGAATATTTCCCTCACTCAAAGCTACAAATAGCATGGAAGTCCATGGCATCAGTTTTATTAAACTTTTAATTTGCAGTTAGGACTATCACGGTACGTACAGAAACATTTTGAGTTTATAGCAAATATCTAAATTTTTTCACTAAACAATGCTGTTTGCTTTTCTTTAGCCGATGGCAGCCATTCTTGGAACATTGCCCATGTGACGTTTCATGCAAAGGTCAAGTTTCGATATCTCTTTCAAGGTATAGTCGGTAATTCCACAAATTCTACAGGCGGAATTTTCCTGGATGACATCAGTTTTACTGAGACCCGCTGCCCTAATGGTGTCTGGCAAATAAAGAACTTCTCTGCCATTCTTCAAGACAAGAGACTTAACACAACTTTAATAAGTCCACGGTTTTACAGCACTGAGGGTTATGGCTATGGCCTCATTTTGTATCCTCACTCACGTTATGAAAACTACGTGGGGATGTTTTTCCATCTGTGCAGTGGTGAAAACGATGGCATCCTTGAGTGGCCAGCTGGGAACAGGCAAGCTGTTGTCACTATCATGGACCAAGATCCTGATGTCAAACTTAGAATGTCATCTCGTAGAAGTTTCACTACAGATGGACGCGACGTAATGACAGGTGAGAAAATACAACTACATATCTCTAAAGAAATTCCAGTACAATGCTGCAGGGTTGGGACATTTGGGCTTAATAATCTTTTCTTCTCGGTAAATAGGATCCTTTTTCAGCAAACAGTCCAATATATTTTGTGCTAAATGTGTGAAAATGATTGTTAAATGTTAAATAGAGAAGGGAGAATCTCAACAAACCAGCAAAATACAGAAACCTGCATAGCTTCTTGCCATAGTCCTGAGCTCAGATCCTTCTCTAGTTTACCTCCCCTGTTCCCTAATGCCCAATTGGAACTCTTATATCCATGCAACCCACCTCCTGCTCCCACAAACGAATTCACATCAAGCTGCTGATCACCCCACCTCTCTTCCTGGACAGCATGTTAAATAATGTGGTACTCATCAATTTGCTGTCTTTAGTATTGAGTTCAACACCTTCAGATTGTGAACTTACTCCCATTTCTGCCCTTTCTTTTAGCTTTACTTGTTACATTCTCTGTCATCATGTCCTCTCTCCCCTCCCCCCACCCCAGTGGGACTGTCTGTTCTTTCCAGTCTGGCAGTTAGACACACCGTCGTTCTAAATAAAAACGAAAGAATTGTGGATGCTGTAAATCAGGAACAAAAACAAAGTTGCTGGAAAAGCTCAGCAGGTCTGGCAGCATCCGTGAAGAGAAAATCAGAGTTAATGTTTCGGGTCCGGTGATCCTTCCTCAGAAAGACAATGTTAACTCCGTTTTTCTCTCTCTCCACACATGCTGCCAGACCTGCTGAGCTTCTCCAGCTTTCTCTATGTTTGTTCAGGTTTCCTGTGTCCACAGAATTTTGTCTTTATAGGAGCCCTCTCTCTATATATATGTTTGGATTAGCCATGGGGAAAAGCAAGGTTTCAGGGATAGCGTGAGATGCTCTTTGGAGAGTCGGTGTGGACTTGTTGGGCCGAATGGC